AACTTAACCACGCACAGACGACACGCATTGTAAGGCACTTTTGGGTACGTTGTAGAGGAGTAGTAGGAGGAGGAGGAGGAGGAGGAGGAGGGTGGGAGCTCATTGGTGCCCGGTGTTCTCCACTTGCACATCATTCCAACTAACCTCTGCGACACACTTAATGTGCTTATTAACCAAACACCAGTCGATCCCGCTTCTCCTTCAACGCATGTTGCTCTACGCGTTCCCAATACCTTACACCAAATGCAGAGTGTCAGCGTCTTACATTGCCCATCATGACGTGTATTAGTCTTTGCAAACGCAAGTGTAATCAGGATAGCATGCCATGCAGCAACCTCCTCTTCGTCCTTCCCACTCATCGTCTCAGCCTCCTTATCAAGGCTGCCGCTCAAAGATGAATCATCATGCATTGCAGCGGAGGTACACGCGGAAGTGGAGGAGGCACGTGAAAGTAATGCATGCACTGTGTAGTGTCTTGAGAATTCTCACTACGTGGAGGAAGACATCACGTTGAGCAGAACACATGCATCCTAACTATATGTAAAGGGTGGATTCACAGTCCATCCCAACAAAGCAGATTTCGAACAACGAACGCCCTTTACAGGGCATGCAAGTACTGGTGCCAAAGGATGCAGTCACGGAGCAGCACGATACAATTCGCTGATCAACGTATCGTAGTATCCATGACTTCGCATTTTCCCACTATCCAATCAGCCACTTCATTTAACATTTCAGAATTAATTTATACCATTCAATTTGTACTTACCTCTAGTTTCAACCCATTTTTGTCCAGTATATTCTCCTGCAGATAATTAGAGTATAGGTATGTATATATCTGATGAACTAGGCTTTACTTGAATGTGCGACAGCTAAATCACTTTTGTTTTACCTCACCAGGCAGATGGGGACCAATTGAAGTGTCGGCGACTGCGGCAACGGAGGCGGTGGTGTATGTCGTTGTATGGGCAATAGCGTGAGTGTTTACCTGCATTAATACGACGTAGTGTGTCAAAAGTTTGTCGTTTTACACAGTGACGCTTCTTAGGTTGTTAATTGCCATCAATACATACCTCTGTGTGTTGAGTTGTTTCTCTTGTTTCTTACAGCTGTAGTAAATGTTAATGGTGGGTGGAATTATGGACTGGAGTGTGTTGTTCCATATGTCGTGTCTATATATGCCTATTTGTGGTTCGATCGTGTCTTTACGGTGGATTGGTTGTTTATCGTGTTTTACGTGTATGCCGTTGAGTAATGGTAAATGAATGGAAGCGGTTATGTGGGGAGAAGTTGAAGGTGGAAGAGCGCGTAGTGTGCATAGGTAATTAGTTCCCTAGGAGGTATGCACGTGCAGCAAGTACATTGTCATGTTGAATGGGTTTGAGGGATGGATTGAAGGGAGTGATAAGGGAGGGGTAGGCGTTGATAATGTGCCTTTGGTTTGCAAATGCAATTTGTAGTCATGTCACCCCGTTTCGTACAGCATCGTACTGGTGGCATTGAAGTTGTGTTGTTCTAGCAGTTTGAGAAGACTCGCTGGTGTTGGTGAAGACGGAATTTGATCGCTCGATGTAGATGATGTGTGAATTGTTTATTCATGCGGAGTAAGGCAACAATTGGGTACGTTATTTGCGTGTCGGTTGTTGCATTTCGTCGGTGCATATGCATGGTATGAGAAGAGGTAGGAGGGAGGCGTTGTGCAATTGTATGGGCGTTGAGAAAAAGGAATGGATATGCTGAGTGTGTCTGAATATTGTTGACTTGACAGCAATATTGTTGGGCAATTTATGTTACGCGAGATGTTGGCACTGATGATGGGTGTGGCAATTGGCTGCTGTGCCTGTGTTTGAACGCGAGGGTTTCAACGTCACGCTTCGTAAGAGGGCAGGACAGATGCTGCTGCAGCACTCAAAGCACCCATCCACCACAAGGCGAATGCTCAGTGAGGAAATGTGCGACCATGACGACCTTCCTGTTGGCGACTACGAGAACACCTACTACAGCCTGTCGCTGAAACTGTTGCACAACGTCCAGTGAGCTGCTCGATTGTGTCGTCCATACAAAACCAACATCGTCTTCCTCGCCGATGACTACGCCGTCTTCCGAAGCAGCGGCAGCAGCATATATCCAGAGTGGGCCTTCTCGAAGCGTGAAATTCCATGGCCAATGCACACACCGGAGCTCTTGGTCGTCTTCAGTCTGTGGAGCTATCACCACGTGCATGACA